GCATCCAAATGCAGGAGCCACCATTACATTGGCTTGGTTGACAGCCTTGCAGGCAACGAAGAGAAGCCAGATTTCTCAGAAGAATCCGAGGGATCACTGGCAGTAAGAAACCCACCTTTGCATTCAAGGAAAAGGATGAGGCATCTTTCCCACGGAGTGATGTGCTGAAGAAGCTACCTCAACCTCAAAATGCTGGAGGAACTGCAAGGAGGGAGCAACAGTTCATATTCCCCTGCAACCTTGACAGTTGGAATATTGAATAGTTGTTTTGATTAAATGGTTAAATGGTTTTGAAACTAGTTGGTGGTTTGTTCTCACAAGTTCAAAACTGTTAAAACTGTTTGTTAGCACAATATGCTCAGGTTTACATTTTAAAACTCAGATGGTCAGTTTATCCCCAGATGTCTCAACTTACCCACTGACTTGGCTCAACTTGCCCCGGGTTAGGAGCACTTTTTTTTGAGAAGTCATTATTTTGGGCAGCTTTGTCAGAGACGCATTTTGATAATTTCATTTGATAGGAGACATCCTGAAATAAAGGTATATGTTTTCATTCTATTTCTGTCATTTTTCCTTACCTCCAGGACAACATAAGTAAAAAGTGGCTCATCTTACCCCACTCTCCCCTATAAGGGTTTCCATCCACACCATTTTAGTTTTGCATGTTAGCATGCTAACATTTGCTAAGTAGCTCTAAACACAAAGTGCAGCTGTTGCTGATGGGGAGGGGGGGAATGTAATTTTTGAACTGGTGATTGTGCTAATAGAAGAAGTAACCCCAGCTGGTCGTGGCAGATGGTCGCCCACCTAGAGCTGGGGTCTGTACGAGGTTTCTGCCTCTTGAAAGGCCGTTTTTCCTTGCTGCTGTCGCCAAGTACTTACTCATGGTGGGACCTGTTTTTTTTTTTTAGTACGGTCTAGACCTGCTCTATTTGAAAAGTGTCCTGACGATTACCTTTGTTATGAATTGGCACTATGCAAATAAAATTGAGTTGAATTAAGGGATTACCAAAATTGTTACGATGCATCCTAAAGGGTGATATACTGTATATAGTCAGTGTGTATGTATAATAGTCACACGAGTCACACACGAGCGAGTGAGTTTTGACTCATCAACAACTCAATGATAAACATGTGAGTGACCAACTGGTGTATCAGAGATCTGTGAATGGATCCCATAGCCATGTGCACAGCTGTTGTGTTCACTGTTACTGTGTTTTGCAAAGTTTAACAAAGTCAAACTGTAAAACTAACCAACTTTATCATATTATTTCATGGGCAAATCAATTGTTGATGTTGGGGGCTTTAATGCATTTTGTGTCTTAGGCTGATTAACATGTTAGATGGCTTTGGATACTTGAAAACCTGATCAACATGTGAAACATCACTTCTTTTAAACCAGTGTGTTTTTACAGTAAAGTATGTTCTGTAACAAACACATTCACACATTGCCCGGTGACAAAACACACATTGTAGCATTTGACTGTGAGCAAGAGTCACTATGGCCTCGTTCGGCCTGCCAGCTGACACATATTCCAAGTGTTTGTGTGCAGCTGTAATTTTAGTGAAGGTACATGTAGAACTCCAATCAATTGTGTCTCGATGAAGATCATGGCAGATCTTATAGTTTTATTTCATTTTTTAACTTTTAGAGGTGTGTCTCACTGAGTAACACACCCATGACCTGCAACAGATGCATACATACCACGTAATATATATGCATAGTTGTTTGTACCATTCATAGCCTTATATGTCAATCTATATTTGAGCCAGTGTAGGGAATCACTCATGCAGAATAATTACTGCATTCTGGGCTTCTATGCAACTATAATTGAACTTGTACAACAAAAGGTCAAGATTGCAGAAATCTTGCAAAACCTCAGTGAACCCATCATTTTCCTTTCCTGTTTTTCATGAGCTCTGTGAATTTTTTTTATACAGTGACACTTGTGGCTGTTGTTTTTTTTTATGTGGATCCTGGCCACAGGACAAGATTCCCATTGGGGAAACAATAAAGCGTCAAATTAGGTAAACAGTTCTGAATCTTAGCGAAAGACAGCCTGTACTTTAAGCTGAGCGAAGAGTGAGGGTTACAGACAAGCACAGAATGTAGCCGAGTTGTAGTTCAGACAGTGATCAGAGCATCAGACCGAGATTGTTGTTGTTGTTGCTCTGTGCGTGCTGACCCAGCTAACCACTCTGTGGGACAAACAGGAAGCCATTTATCCAAGGCCAAGTTCCCTGAAAGCTTTCTAGTGCAGCTCCAAGATTGCCTTTGTTCTTTTGCGAGCCGAGAGACGATGATTTTAGGATTAAATTGATTTTTGGAAAGTGAGCCTGGGCCAGTTATGTAAGAGACAACAATCCAGCTCAGCTCTCATCTGGGTCAGACAGGAACCGATTCCAACTGAATGCATCACCTTCAGGGTGCCACAATAGAAGATCAGTGATTTTTAATAAGAGATTCAATTGCGTAAATAAAAAGGTGGCAACATCAAATTGATTCTGATTTTGATGCCCTAAACCTCAGTTAATGAACTTGTTACAGAGCAATCACAGAAATGTGTTCTGTCATTCAGCTTCATTTCCTTTGTATACACACTTCCTGATTTGATGTTTCCTGCTTTTCGTCTGTGCGTGTCCATAGATGCATGTTTCATGTCATGTTATGGGAGTTCCATCCAAATCTGTACAAACACTTCTCACTGTGGGCCAGCTCATAATTTATAGCCCCAACTGGTACCTAAAGCTCTGATTGAGATTAACATACTGCATGATCTTCAGAGTTAAAATGGTGATCAGAAACTCTGTGTAAAACAATGTTAACAGCAATCTATTGCTCTTTCAAAGCAAATCATCAAAGAGTTGGATTAACTTGTCTTTACATAATGCTTTCACCTGTGTTTAATATTCAAATCTTGATGATGTCAATATCAGTGTCCTGAGATTACTTTTGTTATGAATTGGCACTATGCAAATAACATTGAGTTGAATTACGGAATTACCAAAGTTGTTACAATGTATCCTAGGGGTGAAATATTCAGTCAGTGTTTGTGTATAATATAGTCACAGACGAGTCACATGTGAGTGACCAACTGGTACACATGATGCTTTCACCTGTGTAATATTAAAATCGTGATGGTGATGTCAATATTTGTTTATGTGGTTATTTTGCTGATGGCAGAATATCCTGTTATCTGGTGAAAATATTAGCTGAATAAATAATAATCAATTATTTAACTCGTTATTATATAATAAGTAATAATTCTCGCCCAGTTTCTGGCTGGCTGGATGGATGGATGATAGTTAAATACCAGCTTCCAATTTAGCATTTTCTTTTCAATTCAATTTTATTTGTATAGCGCCAATTCATAACAGAAGTTATCTCTTCATTGTGGTTTTACAGTATAAAAGAAAACTCCATCCTCTAGTAACACTAGCTTTTATCTAATCTACTTGAATAGTGCTGCATTCACATAGACAGCACCCTCACAGCATGGGAAAAACAAATATATTAAACAAAATGATTTAATGTAATTACTGAATTGTTAGCAATCAATGTCCAGATTGCCCATCTTTTCTCCTTACTGTTACCGGTATTCTCTGGTGGCCTCACCTAATTTTACGTCCTGCTCTCATCCACTTACATGGCATCTGGATTCCGTCTTGTGTTTGCCTGAATCCATGTGAATGCAGCATAATACTTTCCAAGTATAGGCTAAATCATACTTTCTGGACTAGAGTCAAAGATTGATGCATTGCAATTGTACATAATACCTATAAGTATTACTCAACCCACGTTAAGACAGACACACCCTGACGTTTAAACTAAAACATGTCTTAAGACTTTTCACAGTAGCCGGAAACCAAGCGTGGGCCTTTAATCGGAGGGGCTGAGGGGCTCAGCAAAACATAACATTGATAGTATTTTAAAATGGAGAAAAAAGAAAAACTGGTGATTGCGCGCATGACGCCACACAAACCGTAGTGTTGGTCTTTTGTTCAAATGTGTTGCAAACATTAGCAGCGAACAGGTTGGGATTGTTGAAAAGTAGATTGTAATGGATGGATAAGTGACTGGTGTTTATTTCCCGTTTCCAACAGCGGTTTTAGGATAATTCAGGTTTATTGGAACTGGGATTTTATTTTCATTGTTTTGGACATCATTTCTACACTCACTCAAGGTCACTGCTGAAACCTGGGAATACAGTGAATTTTTTCGCTTATCTTTCTGTTAAGAGAAGTCAACTCCACATCATCAAACGTTCTTAACCATCTAAATCTGCTCTTACCCAGGTGTGCTGAATGATAAATCCCACTTGATCTTAAACTTGAGGCATGTGGCTGTTTGTTACTAGCAGAGATAATGCCCACTAAACACTATACAGTAAGGGCAGGTGTTGTCCTTGAAGAATTGGGAGCGATGCCACCAAACAAAGATAGCTCAGTGCAGAGTTTAAGACCTTAGCATATGCCATAAATATAATATCTATATAACGCAGCAGGCTATCGTGTCCAAGTGGAAAGCATTAACAACTTTTCTTTCACATTATACCTTCATGATTCTGCAGGGACACAGGAAACATACATAACAATGCAACACATGAGTATTTCTGGACTTTGCAGAGTAAAGACTCTGCGTCTTTAATTCAATTCAATTCAATTTTATTTGTATAGCGCCAATTCATAACAGAAGTTATCTCAGGACACTTTTCAAATAGAGCAGGTCTAGACCGAACTCTTTAACATTAATTACAGAGACCCAACAGTACCACCATGAGCAAGCACTTCTGGACGTATTGCCTGTTAAAAGGCAGTAACCTAGGAGATCCCCGTCTGGTGGGTGGTCGTCTGTCTCACCAGTTGGGGGAGAGAGAGAGAGAGAGAGAGAGAGAGAGAGAGAGAGAGAGAGAGAGAGAGAGAGAGAGAGAGAGAGCGACAGACAGACAGACAGGTCACAGCAACAACAGTCTTTACTCTGTGTCTTTAAAGACATAAACTTTTTCTTTGGTTTGTTTAATATGTGTGTCTTTTTTCATGAACAAACATCCCATAGCTAAAGTTATCTGTGTTTAAAACATATGAAATCACATTAAATGAAAACACTACTACATAGGCTCCACATTGCTCAGTTTTCCTCATCAATGCACGCTGGCTGGTTAAGAGCTGAGCTCACACACATGCACACACACACACACACGCACACACACACACACACACACACACACACACAGCGTAACGTTTTCCTCAAACACAAAAATCATCGACTAAAATGCTAAAATCACAAAAGTTGCATTTTTACTATCTGGTGCTTTTTCATCACATATGGCAATAAAAACAGTGGATAAGCAATGTTCAAGACAATCTATAGATTACAATCAATATTGCCACATTTGCCCTTTAACTGCCCTGACAGGACTCAATGGGGCTTTAACTTGTGATACATGATATTCTGTCAGATATAATGGCTTAAAAACATGTTCAACTCATCCCATGATTCTAGAGTCAGTGCTTGTTATAAATCAATAGAAAGTTTCATCAGTGGCACTGTCAGCTATGTTGGCACTCCTCATTGAAACTACAATCAGTGAACTGCTAAAAATGACAACCAGCTGTAGTTGGTGTTCTTTCCTCCAACAAGTGCCTGGTGAAGCAATGAAATATGTTAAATTGAAATGACAGCTCTTACAAAGTTTATCTGAGGGGAGAACATCTCCACAGTGCAGCCGTACAGTTGTCATTTTACAGTGTACAGATGTGGCGGAGTTAGGGAGCCCGAGGAGGAGGAGGGGGTGTAGAGAGAACCTCTGAGCCCACTGAGGCTGTGCTGCAGGTAAACTCCCCTGTCCTTCCCTTCGACCATGACCCTCCAAAATGGTAAGTGGCACTGTTTTCCTCCTGGCAGTATGAGAGGGAGCACACTCTACTTCCTCTGTCCAACATCTTTGTCCATCTCAAATCCATGACCCTCCTCTGTCAACTCCCTGTCCTACTGTCCAACAGTGTTTCTTTCCAGTGCCCTTCCAAACGATTAAGAACTCCTGGCACTAGGAGTAGATGGTAATGACCTCCCGACCACCTCCACGAACCAACACGACACGGTCTAGGCCATCCATCAGGACCTCCAGGAACTCCATATCTGAGAGACACATTCTGGTTAAGGACATACTGTACAGCAGTTAAGACCTCCATTTCTGCGTGTGACAAATTCTCCTGAGAGTGGTGGAATATAATTAAGTACCTTTACTCTAAGTACTGTACGTAGGTACAGATTACTGTACAGTCCCTGTATTGTTCTTGGGTGTATATTTAATCTTACTTTAAACTTGTACTTCACTACATTTCAGAGGGAACTGTACTTTTTTACGGCACTAAATTACCACATTACGGGGGCGGCTATGGCTCAGGAGGTAAAGTGAGTTGTAATAGCATAAAAGTCAGGGTGGTAGCTGTCATTTTAGATATAGTGAGATCTAAGCCATAACTGTCCGGTTACATTTTTTGTACATTTCAATTAGTAGGCTCTAGAGGTGTTGGTAGGTGGAATCTGTGAACTTTGAACAGAGCTAGCTGTTTCCCTCTATTTTGAGTCACTATGCTAAACTAAGCTAAGCTAAACTAAGCTAAGCTAACTGCATGATGGTTCTAGCTTCATATTTTGCATACAGAGTGGAATCGTTTTTATCATGGCAAACTCGATTTTGGCAAGAAAGTAAACGAGTATCTCCCAAAATGTTTAAAGCCCCCCTCAACTCAGGAATCAGTGTTTCCCCTGTTGTTCCCACAGTGTGCTGTCTGAATGCTGTCTGTGCAGAGTTTGACTCTAGAAGGATGTTTTCACATTCATCTGCTGAATAAGATTTTTCAGGGGATCTTTAACTATTCCTTTAATGTGCCAAAATTTCGGTGACCGACCGAAGTAAAAGTCTGGATATCTTGTTGACTACATAAACGACTGATGAATTGAAAAGGATACAGTTCTCATCCCCTTTCTTGTTCTTCGGTGGGCCTGGCATGTTGAGCAACACCAGCTGTGAATTCTGGGATTTCTTGACCACCACTTCGTTCAGCTTCACGGCTGTGTGCATCCTCCGCACGTTGGACTGGTTGCTACATCAAACCACAGACATTAATAATAACACTGCCATTCGTCATGAGGACCGTTTCAGTATAACACTCCGAATCAAAAGTCTACAGGAAGCACAGTAGGCGTGGCTGGGAATCGCATGATCTGTGCAGGCAACTACAGCACATAGACACATGCAAGCTGCACAATCGCGATCATGCAAACTGAACCTGTGATTTAAGCATGCCAGCGCATTGCGAGATTATTCTTACAGCAGGCACAGAGAGCTCATGCACATGCAAACAAAAGGTGAAGATAAAGTGACTTACAGATTCTCCCACTCGCTAGAGGAAGGGAGCAAAAACATATCCAACATTAACGCAACAATAAGGGGCTGCTCCTCTTCGAGTTTATCAGATATTTAGATTTTACTTTCTCAAGACTTTTCAAGACCCTTCAACAGATCACATTACAAAAACACAAGCCCATGACAAAGTTATTGAATGTACTTCAGGGGACAACCATTGAATAATAAAATAGGATATGACCAATTCAGTGCTGAAATTCCTAAGTCTCTCCATAACTACAACTACAAATCTATCACTAATAGTTCTTGTAGCTATGTGCTGTACAACCGCAGCTTATGTGAATAAATAAAACACAAGTAATAATAAAATAATGATGAAGTACAATAAATAAAAACATCTACTCATGTATCTACTTACGGTTTCATATTAAACATGTCTTTGACTCCCATGCCTTCTCTGTGTTTGTTCCTCTCGTGGATCAGTTTCTCTTTGGTCCAGGTCATGTGGACACGATCTGGTGTGGCACCAGCAGCTTTGTCAGTCATTGTAGAATGAGACGCTGTGTTTCTATCGTGGATCAGCTGGGCCTAAAAACAAAAAAGGACAGGTGAGATGATAAAAAGACAGTTTGGTTGTTGTAGTTCTCAGCCATGTCAGATCTTTGTTGTTTTCTAATTTCTACTAATAAAACATTGGATTTCCAATGAAATTTAATTTCTGGTAACTCAAACTCTAGCTCATGGGAAACAATAATATGACTTACAATTATTCTTACTGACTTATCTACTTTTACTATTATATATATATATTATATATATATATATATATATATATATATACTGTATTTTTTTATACCTCTTTTATTTTCTATACAAGTGTTGTGTAAGCTGCTTGAAATCCAATTTCCTTGCAGGAGTCATCCCAAAAAGATCAATAAAGAGAAGTCTAAGTCTACTCTGATTCTGCATTTCTTCCCAGTAGTACTGTGTGTTTTAACTTACTATTAAGGAAATTTTAACCACAAAAAAAAACCATCACAAAGATGAATGTCATTGCAGAGATATCTACATAGTTATGAGGTACATGGACATATGAGCAGAAGGAAATATGAAGACAAATTATGTAGATGTAGTTATTTTTATGGCAGTCAGGTGATAGACAGCTTTATGGGGATGACAGCACATGCAGGTAAAGAACACAGAAACTAAGACACTGTAGTTTACAGTGTACGCAGTAAACCTCCTGGTCTGTTCATGTTAAAGACATAATGAAATATAATATCCCTCTCTTGTCTCCTCCTGCAAAATATGAAGACCTTTTATAACTCGTGAAAAACTTTTACTTGTTTTTACAGTGTTTCCTACGCCCTGACGCTTGGCTGTTGTTTTATTTATTTATTTATTTTTGTTGTTTCTACTGCGCACTCATGCAGGACGAGGCTGTTTATCAGAGAGTGAAGGCTCGGTTAACATAGCTTGTGTTTAGGTCAAGGTTATATTAACAAATATTCTAAACTTCCAAAATAATTATCCTTTAATTTAGTTTTCTTCACAGAAATGACTGAAATGTTGAGGTATAGGCCTACTGTTTTTTTGGTTACAGTTTTCACTCAAGAACAAACCATAATCTTATCTTCCCTGCAGAATGGAACAGACAGATTTTCAACTGTAAACAGGCTGAAGTGTTGACTGTATGAAGGAGAGGATGTAATGTTTAGTAATCCAGAGTCTCATACAGACCTCCACTACTGGGAGTCTGGGGCATATTTACAGGCACTCAGTGAGGAATTTGTCTTCCTCTAGTGGCAGCATTTGGTGTCATTGTCTCTGCCTGGTCAGCATCTCCAGTACATTGACTGGAGGGAGGACAGCAAACACTGAGGCTCAACATTATTTCTCTGATGACAGCACTGTCTGAAGCATTGCAGTTGTTATGAATGGATTATGACGTGAGAAAGGATGGCATGGATTAATGGAGGGACCAGTGTCGTCATGGTTGGTTACTATGAGCTGTTTGGTTGCCACGACTACCTCATCCTCAGGTATGCAAGGCGTGTTGAGGGAAGGGGCAGCAGCACCCGGCGACTTCTTCCGCTTTATGGAGCCACGCGATACATCTGTGATGCTCTGAATCTGAGCCCGTTGACCAATCACACAGCCAGGTTGGGGGAAGAGTTCAAAGGTCAACATCAGCAGAAGAGGTATGCTACACCTTTTTCTTTGGGAGGTGGGTAGCTGTATCCTGTGTATTACAGCCTCAATATCTTATTGGGCTGTATACAGTTTGTTATATCTGAATATTTGACAGTGGAATATATTAATGTGTGCTGTAGCTCTGAACATTTTATTGTGCTGCCGACATTTTTTTATAGCATAGTTTCACATTAACTTGACAAAGGAGATTTGTAGTGTGTTTTTAAAATGTTGTGGAGAGTATTTAAGTGTACACTTTCAATTGAATTAAGCTTAATTGTCATTATACTTGCATACAATAATACAGTACTATCTAGGTTACTTCTAGATGGTACAACACATAACTGGTCATATATGTACTCAATTTATATTTTAACTGTATCTTTTAAATGCATTCTTATCCCCACTGAGATTGGATCGCTCTCGTCTGGAGTGAAGTGGCAGCAAATCAGCTCCAGACTGCCTTAGAAAACACTTTACTTTTAACCTTTTTAAAAAGTTTTAAAAGCACATCTTTTAGTGCTTTCATGGCACAAAATAATGAATAGAACATAATAATCATTAATTAGGGGCATATCTAAACTCAACAACTTCTGATTGGATCGGATCTGTCCTGCGTCTTGGGTGCATTTCCATCTGTTCTTTCATGTGGTCACACACCCAAAACACATTTTAATGCAAAGTGTAAAGGGGGTCTAATGTCATAAGCAACAGCTTTATCCTGGAGCTATTGCCAGATTTTTTAATTTTTTTTTACAGTGCATGATTTCTTACAGCGGATTTTTTATGTAATGTGAGTTTTAGTACCTCTCTCTCCCTCTCATTGCGGGACAGCTGCATCTGTTTAAGCATCTGAGACCTCTGCTCCATCACCAGGGTCTTCTCATAGGTGAAGGCTGAGATGTCGCTGTCATGCTGGAGGGACACACAGATCATTTTCAATTGCAGATTTAGAAAAATATGGTCCATTGATGTATTTGCTTTGGCAAGCGTTCTCATTTACAGCAGTTTTAAGTGAACAATCAGCCTGCAAATAGTCTCACCATTTCCACCACCTCCACCTCTGCATCCAGGCGTAGATGGTAGAGAAACATCTGGAGGTCCTTCTTCATCTGGATGGAATTGTCGTCCATCTGGGCCACCGTGAAGATTCGCATTTTACACTTCCTCCATACCTAGATAGGACATGGATCAGTATATGCTGTGGTTTTAAACACTGTAAACAGGAGGGACATGTGAGCAAGAAACTCTAAGCAATTAAGCCATCTGAATTTTTTTATTAATAGTGAATTAGCCACTACACTATATATAAACTGTGTGACACCAGCCTGCATTTATAAGAATGTCCATTGAATTATTTTATGGCACAAACAGAAGTTCCTTTATATAACAATATAACTGTTAAAGATTGAAAGGCTGGTGAAATAAATATATATTTAAAGGGTTCGGGCAAAGAAGAACACGGTTATGGGGGAAGTTTAATTTAACCCTTTGTTTTCTTTATTAAAACACTAACAATACCATTGATTTGAGAAAGAGGCTTGGCCTAACCATAATCCTATCTGATGATTGTAAGAAAACAGTTGGGTCTGTATTGTTTCACAAAACAATCCTAAAATATCAGAAACAGTTTAGTTATGCATACAGTAAAATATGTATAAAAAGCTGAAAGCTAAAGTTTATTCTCTGTAGGCTGCTGTGGTTTTTACATTATTATTGATAATTATTTCCTTTTTTTTAAAGAGTCTATTATCTATAAAGAGATTGTGTTTCTACTTTGATAAAACTTACAGTAAAACCCATTAAATAATCTAAAAGGAAAAGACCATTTAGACACACACACACCTTGTGTTGATTCAGTAGAAAAGGCAGCAGCATGAGTAGTCCACCATCATGTACGATCCACCACACATCAATGGTTCCCTCCTTCAGACGCTCCTGGTTACTGGGGAAATGGTCGATGTTCTTAGCAACAAGCAGAGCCTGTTGAGCTGCCGTCGTCTCTCTCACCGTTTCTGCCGAGAGTAATCAAATGTTTCTATATAACCTTTCCTTTTTTCTCTTTCAGAGATAAAGGTTCCCTCTACTTCTTACAACTCCTTTGTGTCTTCAAACTGCTGAATTCTTGTGTTAAAATCATACCAGTAAAGTTGTTAGTATGACAAGAGAAAAGCCCTTATTACTGTAGAAATATGGGTTATTCTTACCTTTAAAAATCAGTTAAATGCAGGGAAACTTCTAAATTAATTATTCTACATATCAACTTAATTGTCATTTTCTTAATAATGTCTGATTTGATTTTGTCACACACTTCCTTCAAGACACGCCTGTTCAGTTTACCTATGAAGTTCCTCCTTGCGGAGGAGTCCCGGGCTTGTGTCCAACCTGTCGGCCAGGCCATCAGGACAGCGTTGTGTTTCATTCCTCCCAGTCCTGCCGACTGGATGAGCAGGGAGAAACCATCACGCAGGTTTGAGGACACCACCACATGGGAGAAACCCTTCATCCGCTCTGAAGCCATGGCTGCTTTCAAGTTCTGCAGGGACCAAGTTAAGCTTTATTTTGACATTATTTAGAGCTTATATTAAAGACACGGTTAGACACATAGACCTGCAACCTGAACACTGGGAGACCCTGTGGAGGACTAAACGGGCAGAGCAGATGAACAAATGAACTGATTAATAAATTGACAAACCTGCTCTCCAGTCTTGGCCTCATTGCCCCGGGTCATGTAGGTTCCCTCCAGGACTGAACAGACGATGGTCAGTCCCTTTCCTGCTTTGAGCTGTGTACTGAAGGACAGGAGGCGAGGGTGTTTCACTGACAGGTCTGAGTCCAACTTACACAACACCAACAGCTGAGGCCTGAAAAGACATTCAAGTGGTGGAATACAAGCAAAAATGTGAGTGCAAAATAAGCATTTAGAATTAAATATTAACAATTTATGATATAAATCCAAACCAGATTGTGAAAATAAGTTTGTTAAAGGGAAAGTGATCTTGGCATAACAAGAAATAAAGATCCCAAAAATAATACTAACTATAAGTTTTGTGTTTCAATTTCCCTGGCTTCATTGTGATTAAAGCAAATCACAGTGCACACACACACACACACACACACACACACACACACACACACACACACACACACACACACTCGCCTCCAGTTTTTGGTGTGTAGTGGTGCTTCTTCCAGCCGGATGAGAGCATAGCGTGCTGCATTTAAGGACAGACCTCTGATCCCGTCTCCCCATTCCTTCACTGCCCTGCAACCAAAACAGCAAAGTAACACCTCTTTTCCAAATGTTTAAGAATAGAATAGATATGCAAATGTTTTATCCAGTCTGGCATACAATACATTAAGCCTTCACTGCTGGCTTGAGAGAAATTACATCCACATCTCCAAGCACACAATTTATGGGTTTTAAGAAGATATAGCAAGTGGTCACAAACATTTCAGTTTGTTTCATATATTGTTACATAAGAGCTGTGTGGTGTTATCTAGGATGAATCCTAGAGCCATGGAACCGATTAGGAGACTGTCGGAGCAGAAACAGCTCATCAGTCATGTGAGTAAAATGTTATACATCAGAACTTATTTGGAAAAAGAGTTTCCATTTCCCATTAAGCACATTAACTCATTCAAAAAAGGCAAAAAAAAAGAAACTTTTGAAACTTTTTTTGGAATTCGCCATTTTCATCAGCCTTTTCTGCTACAATACTTTAAAATGAGCACTAAATGTGCGTATGGAAATCCGCAGTTATTTTAATGGTGTAGTTATAATGCAAGGACAGTGAGGGTAAAATAATTGTTTTCTCTTGTTCCATCAAAGAAAACCGAGTATGTCTGTGTTATACTGTTTGTCTACCACTTGTGGATATCTATAAATCAAGAGAGAAACTATGCTTCATTTAACTTCACAAACAAAACTTTACTCCACTTTCACAACACTTATGAACAGTGGCTAGTTTTGCTTGGATACTACCAATAATGAGGAGTTTAAAGCCGTTTTGATTTGATCTCTGGACCTAAAACCCCCCAGACTCACCCTTTGTACTCAATGTACTTGTAGATACAGCCAGCTATCACCATGGCAACCAAGGCATAGTACCAGGAGGAGATGAACATGAGAGATAGACACAGACTCATCCCTAAGAAAGACAGGGTCCTACAGCACACATACAGTACGTATTACTGCAACAGTCTGTGGTTTTAATAAAAACTGTGGAAATCTTTTTTTTTTATTTAACGACATTTACAGGATTTATTTTGAGTTTAGGTGGAAGCTGTTCTTACCAGTGATAGAACTTGAAGCGAGGTCTCCAGTTGGGGGTACAGAGCAAAGTCTGAACAGCACAGGCCAGGTTAACAAACAGATAGCACATGAGGAAAAACCTGAGCAAGCACAGAGATGGAAATTATCATTAAAGAGGGAAAGCAATTACTTTGGCAAATGGGATAGATTTGTATTTTCTAGTGTTAAACCACGTACATGGAGAGGATGGGGGCCACAGCATCCAGAGAAGCGATGAGGATTCCTATCTCACAGATCCCTACTGTCAGCAACAGAGCCCAGGTTGGCTCACCATTAGCCTTCCCATGGCCAAAGACCTGAGAAAGACAGAAATGGTCCAATACAGTGCTCCATTAAATAGCAGAAACGCAAATACATACACGTCTTATCAATGTCAAACAGCACAGTAGCTTCCAGATGTCTCATTACTTTAGCACTGACCTGTAAGAAAGGGATGATGCCATCCCGAGCGATGGCCTGGAGTAGCCGGGGAGCGCCAGTGAGGCTCTGAAGTCCCGCCCCACAGCAGGAGAAAAACGAGCCAATCACAATCACCCACGGTGACGGCCAGGCCAGAATACCAATTACTGGGTTCTTCTTTACTGAGTAACCAAATCTGAAACATCCACAAGCATACACACATTTGTGTGACTGAATACATATACTTCTAATTTTGTGTACCCTGTGTATGCACAGCATTTTAGGAACAACTGGAAAAAGTTAATATTGCACATTTCACTTCCCAGTAAACAGTATATTGTTTTCTAAAAAACATTATATTTAAAAGCTAATGAGCACCTACAAGATGTCAAAATAGCAGAGTACCACCATTTGTTTCACTACAAAAAGACAATAGAATTAAAAATACACTCACTTGTCTCTCAGCACCACTCCTTCAATACAGGCTCCAAACAAGACCACACAGGAGATGTCTGGACCATGAAGTTAAGATGGAAATACCCGCACTGTGCATTTACTTTTTAACAGCCTTATCTGTTACATTATAACAAATAAATAACGACATAGCTGATTAAATCAGTCTTGCTGCTCCCTGTCGTCAACTGAAACACCACCTACACATGCTTGTGTGTGCACATTCAAAGGTTAGTTTATACGGCACTGCGTATCAGCTGCAAACACACTTAGAGTCTAGACTCTAGAGGATACAAATGAAAGAGGTGGTGAGAATAGCCATTATGGTTCCTATTGGAATGGACCTCTGGGCATCTCTGAGATCACCGGACCTGTTAGAACCAGCCATTATGCCTGAAAGCAAACAAACACACAACGTAAAAGTTAGTGTCAGTGGTGGATGAAGTATAAGTAAAGGTATCAATACTACACTTTGATAATACTCCATTACAAGTAGATTTTTAAAATGACTTCAGCTAAATTACATTAAGAAAAGTATTAAAAGCAAAATGTATTAAAATTACAAGTATTGTACTATTACTCGAGTATTATTTATTCCTAAAAGTATTTTTGTTAAATAGGTAGAAAAAAATGCCAGAAAACCCTATTGCATAAATTACTTGGCAAGATAAAGATTTTAGTGTTTTTTTAACATTTTTAAGTAAATCAAGCAATCAAATACATGTAGTTAAGTAAAAGGTACAATATTTCTCTCTGATATGTAGTGGATTACAAGTATAAAGTACTATATGGTAATATAGTAATACTCAAATTAAAAAAGTAAAAAAGTACCCTAGTAAGTATACTTTTACTTTTCACTTTTTGCACACACATAACATTTAAAATCCAAATAAAACAATCCTCCTCTGCCCTAAGGAGACTCTTTTCTAATACAATTCCTCATTGTATTATTTACTAGACTGTGTGAGAAAATCATATTGGTATCATCAGCAAACAAAGCCGGAAAAGAAAATGTGTATAAGAACTAATAAGGGTCCTAAAATAGATCCTTGTGATACACCACATATTATATGAACTGTTTGAAGCACAACCATTAGTTGCTCTCTTTCACTTATGCAACCACTTTAGTGTATCACCATGGAAATCATAGTGTTCTAATTTGGCTAATAAAATATCATGGTCAAACACTTTGGAGAGATCTAAAAAATTTGCAAAAATGTTGTTTGCAAATTGCAAATTTCTTATCATTTATAGCTGCATGTATTTTGTCTACAACCTTATACCATGTAGGTAGAATTATCCTTTCTCAAGCCATACTGATGCTCATATAATTATTAGTATACTTTCTTAGAGAAATTCTACATTGAGCATATAAAGCCTCTCAAATAATATCAGTATTGGATATAATGTCAGACTCCTAACATATTAATATTTGTTTGGTATTTGACGGAATAAAGCATCTACCTGTAACAGAGGGGAAGTATATTCCCACAAGCAGAGTGAAGTAGGTGGTGATGTCATTGAAGACGTAGGGCTTATCTGTGTCTATAGGCGTGTCCAGGAGTTGTACAGAAGGCTGGTCTTTGTTCTCTATGTACATACCAGCTGGACTGTAGTCGCCCCACAGGTTTTCTGACGGACAGAGAAAAGAATCATCAGGTGGATGCACATTAAGATTGTGGCACCATGTGAAATAAGCAAGAGGAATCCTTCCTCTCCTCTTTCTCACCTTTGATAACTCCACTCAGAAGCCCAGGTATGGCCTGTATCTCTGTCAGGTTGTTTAAGGTGAAGTATTCATCACATGTTGCGTTGGGGTATTTACTGTTACAGAAGATGCTCCATAGCTCAGTGGTCACAGTTTGGTTTTTCACAATCTGCGTCTTTGCGCATGTTTCAAACTTTTCATTGCTTAGAGATCGGTTTCCCAACAGACAGACACTGCAGGGGAGAAAGAAAAAAGGAGTGTTGTTAGATGGAATGATGGTTAGAACAACTTAAAAAAGTTTAAATAAATGTAAGAGGAATTTTCCATTCTGGTTTTTAGTCACTGATAACATCATGAACCTTAAACCCATGACTACACACACAATCACAGCAACAACCAAAGCTCTGTCATGCCTTGGCTACAGTCAGTGAGAGAGAGAACGTTAACAAGCTAAGTATCTATCCAGATGCAGCAACTCGCACTGTGGTCACAATCAGCAGCAATCAACTACATAATACATAATAGCATATCATATTATTTTTCTGGGCCAGTGTGAATGCAAATCATACTGCAAATCATTCAGAACACTTTTGATGGTGCAAATTTACCAAAATGTAAACAAATATTGTTATATTATATTATTATAAATAATAAAAATCAGGGCTCAAACTGGAGCCTACAATGTGAATCCAACTTTGTACTTTTTGTTTACATCCCCAAAATTATTATGGGAACTGTTCCAAAACTTACACCAATGAATACCCCTGAAAGCACCAACATGATGAAATACAACAACATCAACACATTAAATGGGACGCATTGAGCGTGCAATGACAATCAAAAAGGGGAACAGGAAATTTAGTTTTTAAGGACATTTCACTCTTGAAAACATGTTAGTGTTTAATTGGAAAAGGTTATTTAGCTGTTAGTAACTCACTTAAATTCTGGTGGTTCGATCATCGTCTTGATTACTCCTGCATAAGTGGCCATGATGGACAGAATCACACAGGCCAGAAACACCAGAGCCAGTTTGTTCACATACCTGCAGAAAGAAGGGGAGTAAGTGTGGGTGTGTATGCCTCTGTGTGTGTGTGTGTGTGTGTGTGTGTGTGTGTGTGTGTGTGTGTGTGTGTGTGTGTGTGCGTGTGTGTGTGTCGGTGGATACTTACTTCACCCCTACAAACACTACCAACGCCATCAGCACCAGGCAGCATGTGCCATAGACACGCATGTTGTTGAGCCTTGCTTCATCGTCGGTTCCTTTAAACACTGTTGCTGTTGGAACAATGTATGTCTGGCAGTGGGGAGAGAGCAAAAAAAAGAGAGTGTGTGTCATTGCTATGCTGTATAGCAGAAGTGACTACTGGTGTAGCTGTCATAGTGATAACATACCAGCAGAATCTCTATGGTGCCCAGTATGTACATGGATCCAGCGAAGGTGGTTCCGAGGTAGAAGCAGAGACCCACTGCTCCTCCAAACTCCGGACCCAATGATCTGGAGATCATGTAGTACGAGCCACCGGCTTTTGAGAAATGAAATCCTGGTTAGACTACTTCCAAAGGTATTCCGTCTGTTTTAGTTCCAGACACAAGCACGGATCAAAGATAGTGCAGGAATAATAATGCAGAGCTCTTTGTACTAAAGATAAAACAGTATTTGTTGAGTTTAAAGGTTAAAGGTTGACATTTGAAATAACACTTTGACATTTTTGTCAAACTTTTTTATATAACATCATAACACTGATCATGAAGTAGCAGGTCTCAGGGAAATTATAGGTGGTTTTAGGGCTAGTGCATTAAAGTGCAGTAATTTAAGATGCTTTTTTGTGGGTAAACTACCATTATTACAGAAATAATGTTAAACAATTTGGTCCTATTTTCCATAAATTGTTATTTGATAGATTAAATACCTGCATGAAGAAAATAACATCTCATACTGCTTTTTGGATGTGCCCATATACACTGAAAACAAACCTTAATTTTTCATAATTTCTTAACAATTTATGTAACTGTTATGTAACTGTAATTTCCTGGGGAGGTTCCTGGAAAGGAACATGTCATCTGTTACAAACCATAGGAAGAAAAACTGTGTGAAAATTAAGTTTCTAATAATAAATAATACTAATATCTACTTGGGTTTACATGGAGATTATTTCCAGTCATCAAGAGAGTTTCTCTCAATGGAAATTTAAAATACTGACATATAAAATCTACATGTTTTGGATTGTGAACCTTTAAAATGAAGCACTGTCTATGTTTGAGTCTTGTCTTAGGTTGCATATATCTGTGACAATATTCCCTCTCAGCTTGCTGTATGAATACTTTCAGGCCTCCTATATAAATAATCATCAAACAATCAACAACCAAAAAAGCAAATATCTGCTCTCATATGTTGTTAATAATCTCATAACCTCACAGATTTATCTTGTGGCCCTAGGTTGAGAACCACTGCTCTAACCAACAATGTAACCACCATATTATTTCTCTTATGCTTATTTAATTATCTAACAAATAGTGAAATGTATTTATTTATGTTCTTCTGTGTCTCTGTTGTGTCATGATGACTTTGAATTCTGGCCGTGGGGAAGCTTCACTGTATCTCCTAAAAGTTGCAGCTGCAGTTGGAAGTCATGGCATATAAATATCACGAGTAGAATAGAAAAACTAATGTGCAACATGTCAGAATGTACCTGGGACAACTCCATTGGTTGCTATGGCACTCATTGATATGGCTGTGAGCAAAGTCTGTGTGGAGAGAAAGAGGACAGATGTTAATTTCTGGATGGAAGAAACACAGGTGATAAGTGTGCAGTTTCTGCACTGACAGACAAACAGTGACCTATAGAAGACCCTAAATTCTCTTCCCATAATTCCTTAGAACTGTAGGAGTCCTCCCTCAGAGATCGAGCTCTGAAAAATCTGATCTGGTCAAATTTCGTTTGTTGTTTGGATTTCTTTCTCCAAGGGGAGTGTAAATAGACCCTGTGGGTTCCCTAAAGGGTTCACTGTACTTATCTGGTTACTAACATTTTTTATTAAGATTATTTCAGGAAGAAAAAAGGAAACCAATACAAAACAAAAACAAGAAAAATAAGGGAGAAAAACCCTATACAAACCAACAAACAAGAATGAACAATGCAGAGATGTTGGGAATAGACTGGAATAAAGACATCTGTCGCCAAGGGCTGTATGATGTCAAGGTACCGGTGAAAATATTCTAAATAGTTTACACATGAACTGATATTGATATTGTTTTGGTGGGCCTTTTCTTAGGTGGCTAAAAAACCTCATACAACCCCATTTCAAAATCTCTAAACTAACCCTTTAAGGATGAATGAGACAAAGCTTTATGCCTGGAGATATCTAAACAGAAAATCTTAGCTTTAAGAATATTAAAGGTCAACCGAGTTTCATTCTTTATTAGATTCTCGACTACATTCATCTCTACCTGCCCGTGGGGGAAAGGAATTGGCTTCAAGTTCAGGTGGGAAATCAGACCTAACTACAGTAGTCCTCAAACTCTTCTTTGTAAATCTCCACACTTTAAGGCTATTTTGGGACCACAAATGAACCCTGACCTTATATTGAGTCATACATAAAAGATGGGCAAGCAGTAGAGGAGACAGCCAAACTTTTCAAATGTTAAATGCTGTTGTTTTCAGTTTAGACAGGAACTATCTGAAGAAAATAACTTACATTACATACAACTAACATATATATATAACTATATAACTACATAACACACAAAATCAGGGTTTCATTGTCCTTCACAGTTATAAAAAAAGACAATAAAAAGCATCTGCATATTTAAAGGACCAGTACGTCTTGCCAGAATCTCTCCAGATATCAGAAGCCAGATGGCATTGACAGTTTCTGATACCTAGTGTTATGAACACGCCTAAACAGCACCACCACCATCTTCATCACTGTCATCTCTTTGGTCTAAAGTGTCAGATCTGTGATCATCACATCACATGAGCACCAAGCAATTAAGTTCTGACTTTTCAAACAGTCAGCTCTCTGTTTGGCCACGTGGCGCTACTGACGTATGATCCATGGTTGTAAATAAGGTTAATTTTGTGCTTGCTTTGGGGACTCTGCTCTGAGCTCAGGCATGGAGATTAATGCATGTCATTCATCAACACCATAAATTCCAAGAAGGGCGTATCGATTGGCCTCCCAGTGTGTCAGCCACGCCATAAATCTCAGAATCAATCTCAGACATGTCATTGTTCCGTTCAGGCATTTATAGAATGATCAAGAATGGCCAAGAGGGACTCTGTTTGTTTGTCTTTCCTTCATTCACAGTATTACTTATGCAACTTGTCACATTGTGGTAATGCGTGATGAAACGATGCGTCTCGTTTCAAACCTAAACTTAATGCACTTAGTTTGACATTACATTTATTCCTATTATATTGTCAGCAGGGAGACAGTGTCCTTAGCTGTTAATTTGTTCATTATTGACTCACACAGATGCAGCACATGGAGACGATGGCGAAGGATCCCAGGATTCCTGCTGTGCCAACGATCCAGGTGAGACGCAGAAAGAGAATCACACCCAGGATGTTCTGCATGCATGGCAGGTAAACTCCAATGAAGGTTCCCATTTGGGGGACCTGTGGATGGGTAAACAAACACACAGGAGAGTCATCAGGGTAGACAAGAGGGAAGGAGAGGAGGGGAGAATTACAATGAAACTGTCAATATGTCAAGATGTCAATAATTAAACTATCTGATACACCTTTATCATTGATTATCCTGTTGTGATCTGCAGAAAGTGTGCTAAAGCAAGTCACACATTTTTTGCAGACCACTAGACTTCCAGAACAAATACAGCCTTCAAATAAGTATAAACAGGGCAGTGTTAAAGCACAGAGGGTTAAATACAACTCTAGCACGATTGGAGCTTTTCCTAATTTTCTTCATATTACTACTAAAGATTGTTTTCAGTGCTTTTGACTTGTGATGAGGTATTAAAGTAATTGTTCTTTTGTGTCCAAGCCCCCCTCCGCTCAAATTAGTGTTTCTTCTTGTTCCTACAGTGTGCTGTTTGAATGATGTATATGCAGAGTTTGACACTAGAAGCAAGTTTTCACATTCATCTGCTGAAAGTGGAAAGTTTCTCTGTGCTCACTGAAAAGCTGATTTGGAAGTCAGTCCTGGTCCAGTATGCAACTTGTACGGTGTGATGTAGAAACTTGAAGCCACCAGTGCACATCCACTGAGAATGGACTTTACAGTGAAGTAGGAGACATCTCGTGTCCAGCAGGAAAACTTTAGAAATCAAGAAGTAGTAGCCCTTTTAAGCATTTTAATGTGGAAATTATACTTTTTTGGTGGGAAAAACATGCTAGACACACAGTAATTCTCTTGGAAAACTTGCTTCAATTTGTGTTTCCTTTTACAGGCTATGTAGTGGAGATGTCTGATTTAGCACATTGGATTGAGTGAGAGAATGAAGCATTTAATTTTCAAATGATGAAATCTTAAAGATCCCCCTGATATGTTCAAGATATATAAAAGTATATGTTTATTTAGAGAAAATAATTATGTTTATAAAAACTTTTTTTTCCACAAATAGAGTAAAATCACCTGGTTAAATAAACTCTTAAACCTTGTATCTATTCCTTCTTGTGGAATAGATCGATCTCACTGACTTATATGAACATGCAAATATTGCTCAGTTTAAAAGGTGAAGTACAGTTTTCGTGGATGTGCCTTAAAACTGCCACATAGAAATAAATTTTAAAAAATCAAGAAAAAACAGAAAAAAGTTCAATAGACCTTGAAATTGTCCTTTAGAAAAAAATACAAGGAATTCGAGTTATGTCCTTCCATACTTTAATTTAACTTTTAGTTAGTGTAATTAGAACATGAAGAAATTATTTGACTGCCAGATACAGGATTCTCCCACAATATTAATAATGATAATATGCTATCTCAAAGATCCACATTGAGTATCTTTAAAGTGTCTTTTGACACTGTGGAAAACTCACATTTAATATTCCTTCTTTCCAAACACAAAAGCAGCTTTTAACTGCAGAGCAGTATCATGATATTATCATATTAACATGATCATGATAGGCTCCTACAGTCTCATGATCTCTTTCTTCTTCTTAACATTAACTCCATCTTCTATTATATTTACAGTATGCATCACACTGCACAAAGATGAACACATACACCTCTACTAATTTCCTCCCCAAAAACAAAGCGTACATACCATTTTTCGAGTTACAAACACTTTGTCCTGTGCTTTCTCCAAGACACTCAGCTGTCTGCCTAAATGCTGTGAAGTGCCTGATGTTGATTTCAAGATCTCCCACATCTTCTCTCTTGTGTTCGCTCTGTCTTTCTCTCTTGTCTGTTTCTGTGTTTCTCCCCCTCACTCTGTCTGCAAAATCTGCCTTGTTCTCTTTAGTCTCAAGCTTCAGATCTCCTTTGTTGCACTCTTCAAGAAAAGACACAGCTATCATTCAGGGGGCGGGTTTCAGTGAAACATCATCAATGCCTTTACAGAAAGCTACAGTCCAAGGTCCTACTCCGTTTAACCCAATGACTCTGGATGCTCAGTGACACTGGTAATGATTCCATCCCTACTGTTTGCATCATGTACAGTTATTAATGTGGCTATTGAGAGCAAGGAGGTTTTGATCTCAGACTCTGTATATTCAAATTGAACTACCTTCAACTACCTACAAACAGATAATACACAATTTAGTATTTCTCTACCAGAGTTTTAGTCCTAGCAGTGTGGAGAGAATAAAGACCAAATGCAAGTAAGTCACAGTCTATCTGTCCAACATTATAAATCTCTCTAGGCACAAGGTTGGCAAAGATATGGCACTTTTGTCACGCTCATGACAAAAGATGTGTTTTTTTTCTTCTCTTTCCTCGTTTTAAGTGCCTAAAATACCAGCACTACTAATCCAGGTAGTTTAGTGCTTGTTGGTGCTATGGTACACAGGGGTCTTCAGTACGGACAAACACATTTTCTAAAGAAGGGGACAATCTTTAAAAGAAGTGTTCAACATTTTGTTAGCTCCACTTATTTGCTTTTCATACCAGAAGATTGATATTAATCGCATATCAGGTTTGTTAAATATAAAGCAAAAGTTAAATATAAAGACTGGAAACAGGGGAAGGCCAGCAGCCAGTTATCTCGGGGTCATTTCTGTGTTCCCAGGGTGCTATGTGTCCCAGAGTTTAATGACATGTAATGGAAACATGACAAAGGGTCCTATATTCCCCAGGTCTAGGGTAAGGGTTAGGGCCAGAGGCTTAAGGACCCTGGGAACATAGATATGCGCCTATTAGCTCTACTTAGCATAAGGAGCAGAAACAGGGGGAAACAGCTAGCATAGGTTTGTCTGAAGGTAACAAAATCCACCATGAGCAGTTTAAAAACTCATTAATTAACATTAGAGTAACTGTGCCGGGACACAAAATAGTCCAGCATATAACCCCCTGTAAAATCCAATCTCGATTTTACACTCTGGTTTTTCTACGGATTAAAACAAATGAAATATAATGTGTTAATATGTGAGCTTTAGAGTTGTTGGTAGGCAGATTTTGTTTCCTTCCGGCTGAGCCAGACTTGCTGTTTCCCCCTGTTTCCAGTCTTTATTCTATGCTAAGCTAACTGGCTGCTGGCTGTAGCTTCATATTTAACAGATTTGAGAGCGGTGCCAATCTTGTATGTCTAAGTGCATAAGATTATTACTCAACATGTAAGTCCTTTAATTGTTTTTCATTCTTATCCTTCATGACCAACTATAGGGAGGCTGGCTTTTACAGAGCTCTCTGACACTGATGATACATGGACACAGTCCATTTATTCCCACACACAACAGATTTTACAGACCAGATGATATTTAAATTATACACAGCTCACTCAATGTCCTTATATACACTCATACACATATAAAAAACAAAGAAACAGGCCATCGCGAGTGGCCTTAGGAGAGTGCATACATGCAGCTCTATCTTTGTGTGTGTCCGTTTTAACACCATCAGCAGCAGGTGGCCAGCTGGCACAGAATGGAGGAAACACCTCAACCTGGCACTCAAACGCAACCTCCCACACCACAGACATAGTTCTGTTCTCTGTGAGGGCTGAGAGGAAGTACTGGCCAGACTGAACCGTCGTTAGCCAACCAGCAGTAAGAAGGTGACTGGCGTAGGAGAGGGATCTGCTACACGCACACTTTGAGTTCACAGCTGTATGTATATTTGAGCAGAAGAAAAGTGTCATTTCTGATCATGACCTTAACAGGAATGTTACTAGTTCAGTGTTTGTGATATCAGGTCTTTTTCCCACGCCAAATAGGTTATTCAGTCACCCCGCCAGGATAAGCACAGAGGAGATGTGACTTATCTTGTGACTTTGTTCAAAGGCTGATAGCAACTACAGTTATCAAGGTTCTATCAAAGTAACAATATTAGGTTGTTTGAAAGCCAGTGATGTGTGAGTGACATGGCTGTTCTGTGGGCCCACAGAAGGTGTTATGTCATTAATCAGTTAACATGTGTTTGGTTTAACTACTAATGTATTTAAGCATTTAACGATCCTCAGTTGTGTGACATGAAGCCCAAGTGATTCAATTTGAATAGATTGAAAGGTTAGAATATCATCATTTCTCTCAGTATCTGCCTTAAATCCTCTCTGTCCTCCACTTTCTCTTGCTGACCCACTTCCACTTCTTCTTTCCTCTGCTTTTGTTCTATTCAGTAAACCTTTCACATGGCTTCATGCAGCAGCCAGCTGATCTCATCAAAGAAACTGAAGTCCACTCTGTCAGTCAGGTCTGGGGCTGATAATGCTTGTGGTCTGCGGGACATGATGTGTGTCCAGTGTTAGCAGGATCCTCTAGTGGAGGTGCCGGTGAGCAGCCATGCATTATCCACCTTTAAGGTCTTCGTAAAAAGGGAATACTCTTTAATGAGGATGCAAGTTTGAGAAAGATTTTGTTGCCGTTTGTGCTGAATTCAACATTCCACTAGAAAATGTACTACTGAGAGTAACCATAGGTTCCAGCTTCTCAAATGTGAATATTAAAGCTGCAGTAGGTAGCTTTTATAAAAATAACTTTTTGTCATATTTACTGAAGCTTTCACTATATCCTGACAGACAGATAATCTGTGAAAAAATCAGGTTCCTCTGGCTTCTCCTAGTGCTCCTGGTGGCATTTGTTAGAAGAATCCACTGGGCCTGAACAAAAACAACCAATCAGAGCCGAGAAGGATGGTTGATTGTTGAGTGTCATTCCCAGGATGTGAAATACAGACACTTTGGGACCTTGGGAATGAGACTCAACAAGCGTCTTTATATATTTCTTGTTTTATTTTTACCTAAAATACATCACAAAGATCTTACTTTTTCACTAGTTTCTAAGATTCCCCTTAGTAGTAATACCCATATCATCATATATGGTTTGTGACACATCAGCAGTCCCTGAAACCTAAATCTGAACCACAAAGATTACCCAGTAAGATATTCTCCAGCTCCTTGTTTACTGATTTTTTTGTACTACAGGTGAAAAGGTTTGAAAAATCTACAAATGAGTTCATAATAAATCTCATAGGATGAATGAAATGGCACATCTCTTTCTCACAATACTGCCTATTCTTAAATATGTTTATGAGCTGCTTTATTTCCTCGTGATATCACCCCAAAGATCAAAGTAAACTGTATTTAAATCTTGATAGACTGAAAACTGACGAGTAGGAATTATTTTCTTAAAGATTCTTGAAAGTGGATCAGATAACCAATACATTCTTTGTCTTTTCCAATTCAGTTTTACTAAATCATTTTCTAAAAACATTGAATGGGTTTCATAATGACAGGTTGAAATATTTAACCAGTTGTTCTGTCTATTCTATACTATATGTACTATAGCTCCATTTAAAGGAATGGTAGGGCTGTTTTTTATCATGTGGAGCTCAAGTCAGCACATTAAAGATTCCACTGCCAAAGCAGGACTTCTTTTTCTAAAATGACATGTTCTTTAGATGATAAGAAACCAGTCAGAATCAAAACTGACAACCATTACTAAAGATCATCTAAGCTCAAAACTTGAATCTTTAGCGTCCAATATCAGAATTTTCACTGGCTCCGTACCATTACAGCGACTCTCCTGACCCCTTCCTCATTCTCAGCCTCCTCATGCTCGCGGACACCCTGGGTCAGGTTGGTGTAGTTGGCCAGCTTGTTGAGAAGAGATGATACCATGGGGTTACTGTCCATTTCCTCCTACAGAGAGACGGAGAGGAAAGCACAAATGAAACAAACCCTGCACATTCTGATCCATCAACACACTTTCATACATCCACACAGCAGTGTGGAAGCCGCCAGGGGATGCCGGGGTGCCGCTGCAAATTTGAAGGAAGGGAACATTGTTGAATGTTGTAAAACTGACGAACAATGCTTATAATGGAAAACAGAAATATTGACTTTAAAGGAAAGTTTTTTTTTTCAATAGGTTTTTAAAAACATTTATCCATATTTTTCCAGCTGATGGTTCATCATACAGCTGTGACTTTTGTGTCAGCAACTCAATATAATGTACATTTATGAATAAGTAATTGTATTAATAAATATGAATATAAATAAAATATAAATATCATACAACATGCAATGATATAATCTTTAAAACAAATCAGTTAGTTAGTTCAAACAGAGAACATTTGGAGATGAAAAACCTTTTTGTCTTACCTCAAACAGGGCCATGTTCTTGCCTTCATAATAGGGTTCTCTGTCATTGTCTGAGTTGATGAATGGACTGGACTCTCTCTGACTATCATCTCCTAGTGGGATACACAGGAAAAGATCCATACTGTAAGATTTACACTGTTAATAGATCAACAAGAGAACAGGGGCAGCAGCATCACTCGGTAGCCACTGTTCTTTTATCTGTGACAGCTGATGTCTGCTAAGTCGAGACTCGTCGGGACCCGTGGAACACATTTTCATTCAGATATCTAGAGGTCAGGGGTCAAGGGATCCTTTGAAAATGGCCATGCCAGTTTTTCCATCACCAACATTTTGCCAAACTTTGGAGCATTATTTAGCCCCCTTGTCGACATTCTAGAATGCCATGGTTGGTACCAATGGATGTGTTAGGTCATCTAGTTTAATATGAGACCAGTATCTTCACAATATCTTCTAGCTTTAAACAGAGCCTGCTACAGCCTCTGAAAGAGCAAGTGGAAGAGCTCAGTGGGTAGAGCTGGCAACCTATGTACCGAGGCTGAGTCCTTGCTGCAGCGGCCCAGGGTTCGAATCTGACCTGCAGACCCTTGCTGCGTGTCATTATGTGTTTTTATAATAAATTTCATCAATCACACAGATTTAATAGGCTTCTTTTCTGACAAATTCATTTTTTCTTCTCCCTGACGCTGGGCCGTTGTTCTATTAGACAATTTACTTTATATTTACTTTTATTCACAGAAATGAACCAAATGCTGAGATACACCATACTGTGTATATTCTTTAAGTTGTCTTACAAAGACCTCCAAAGCCAAATCCTCACGACACCCCATGAAGCTTTGGCAACCCCTAGTGAGGGTCCCAACCCCTAGGTTGAGAACCAGTGCTCTAAACTACTTTATAGAGTTGTTGTTTGTGATATGGGGTCCAATACAGTTTGTAGAGAATCAGGGGTCAAAGACTTCAGTTTTTGGCAGACAAATGAAGGCTTTGCCCACAGTTTAGCCTTTTGCTACAATCAGCTTTTGTACACACCCCTGAAAAGACAAAGCAGCATAAGATGTGCCTTTTAAGCCGCTTCTTAATTTGGTTTCTCTTGCCCCTGGTTGTCATGCAGCGGTCTCAGTGTATTAGGTTTGGCATGTTATCACACTAGATCACACTGTTGTCTTTATTGCCTTGAACAACCCAAGGCCTAACAGTGGATCAGGGATCACTGAAGAGCAGTTAATAAGAAGAACAGTGTACTGTGGATGCACATGACATAGTGAGGATTGTGACAAAATGTAGCATGCAATAACGAGCAATAATGGGCTCTGGGCCAGAACCACAGTCCTTTAAAATAACTAAAAGAATCTTTCTATAAAATATAAAATCCCCAGTGTGCAGAGGTTAAGGTCAGGGTAGATCTGTTATCAGTATTAGCTTTGTGGCATTCTGCCTGCCACTTTGTATCCATCCTAAACTGTTGATTGGATTGTTATGGGAATATGAATGATGCAAGGGAATACATTAGACTGAACAAAGCAAATAAGGAAGTAGGACAACTTCTGCCTTTGTCACATATAATGGTTGAATACAGCCTATATCACAGATAGTTTGTAACAAGTACATTTAATCAAAAGGAACAAAATACTGTACATCTAATCACAGCGGCAGTGATACTGTATTTCTATAGTATCTGTAATTCGATAGAAATAAACAGTAAAGAAACACAACATCAAGTCAGCTGTAATAAACTATGTCACATTAATGCATATTCCATACGTTAGCTATATTTAGAAATAGAGATAGATTACCTTTGAATGTCTACCTCAGTGATGAAATACTATCAGGATTCATGATGTGGTGTGAAAACAATAATGAAGTTGCCGTACACAAGCAAACTTGCTATTATTAGATGCTTAAGCACTCTGGTGCATCGTAGGCTAACTAAAGGGCTGAAGAAGAAATGTGCCTCTCCACCTTGTACACTGTATTTCTGCCAGCAAATCATACAATTAATGTGAAAACATTTTAAAGCCAGGAACTCAAACTGCTGGGGACCATTTCTGGCCTTCCATTAAAACATTGTCCTGAGATAATTTCTGTTATGAATAGGCGCTATACAAACAAAATTGAATTGAATTGAACTGCCTGTGTGTCCCTCTGTCTCCTCTGCTCAGACTCTGTCTGTTCCACTCCTCTTTTCTTTCTTTATCCAATAAACTCTGTGTGCTCATATTTAGCAGTGTGCAGAAGTACAGCAAAGAGCACACATAGGCTGAATTTAGCATGGTCCCTTGAGACAAAGGCACAGTTATCTGTTGGACTCTGAAGACTAACACACAAATTTGTATAACTGTGTGTGCGTGGACTTCATTGAACATTCCCTAACACTAACCTTGACCTTCAAAACTACTTACTCCTTAACAAAACTCCCATTAACAAAAGTCATGTCCTGCCTTCATTCTCATCCTAAATTGATTGCTATTGCAACAAAAATGATGGAAAATGGCAGAGAGAATGATGAAATATGACCTCTATAAAAACAAAACATGTACAAGAACAAACCAAAAACCTCAGAAGGTTGTTTCACAAAACCTAAAGATTTTCCAGTTATCCTGGCTGAATTTAGTCGTGACTCGGTTTCACAAAAGCAGCTTCATGTAAGAAAAAATTGAGCCTTGCTTTTTCAGTTATCCTGGATTTCTTGATTCTGCTTTTGTGAAACAGTTGTGTGCGCAGAAGAGATTGTCTTTTATCAGTGAGTGACTGTAACAACGTCACACACTTCTGTCATTTGCTTACACAAAATCCCACATTTTGAAAACCTTCCCATGCAGTAATCATGTTAACCACCAGATGTCCATATTCCTGTATGTGCAAAAGCAAGGTGTAGAGAGGCTCAGTTCACCGACTGCATCACATTATGTACAGTACAGACTCATATAACATGCTGCTCAATGATTACCCTACATCAGTACAGGATACTAAGATGAATTGGGTGAATGTGTTTGTTATCACTGAATGTTCCCACCTAATTGAGATTCTGCAGAATGGTTCTATATGTCCAGTTGAAGTAAAGTGAGTAATATCCTGCCAGAAGTGCTGAAGGTGTTTCTGAGTCATAAAAGCTTGTTCTTTTGTATCTCTTGTGTTTTTGGTGTCCTTTGGTATAAAGTCTAATAAAAGTCATACAATAAAGCCAAAGGTTATAGAATTAACGTACTCTGTGACAAACTAACCCGAACTACACCCACCCTCTACAATTCATAGAGTGCCTAAGTGTGACACTGGCTCGCTGAGGCAATACAGAAGTGGCAATCAAACTAAACAAAAGTCACAGGCAACTTAACTAAAAATACACTTCCAGCAGGATGGCAGCCTGTGGCGGTTGGCACACCCCACCAGGCTAGAAAACAATGCTACATATGATTAACATCCTTTTCCTCTGGACAGTTGCTACAAGTGCTCAGTGTTAAATGCCCAGGGGAAAGGACATGATCATTAAGGAATGGAACTAATAGCCCTTAAAGGTCCAGTGTGTAGGACTTAGTGGCATCAAGCAGTGTAGTTGCTGATTGCAACGCCCTCGCCTCACCCCCGTTCCAAGCACGAAAAGAGGCCCGTTGTAGAGATAGTGTTTGGGTTGTCTGATATTACCATGGGTTATTGTAGAAACATGATGGTTCAACAGGCAGCTGCTCTCTTTGTAGCTAAAACCGGCTCATAAAGTAACAAAAACATAACAATTCTTATACTCAGGTGCTGATACACTAATGAACATACCTGTTCCACACGTTTTACACAGGCTTCTGTACATTTGTCTTATGAGCAGCTTAGTGTAATAAGAAAAATATCGTAACCCTGAAAGGTGCGCGCTGTGTGTGTGTGTGTGTGTGTGTGTGTGTGTGTGTGTGTGTGTGTGTCCATGTGCACGTGCTAACAGAGTAGTGTCAGTGACAGGATGGTTATGGCTGTACTGTTACAACAGAGGCAGAGCATTGATTACTATACCTTATACTCTATTTCACTCTCCAGTATAAATACTATTCTATAAATAGAGTTAAAGGACATTTAGGCTTTCTGTTGGAGTCTGGTGAAAATAAAGTAAATGAATAAAGGTTTCTTCAAGACAAAGCAGCAGAAAGAAAACAATATGAAAAATGACACTGGTCATAGGACACTGCTTTGGAAAATGATGGCACTGAGATGTTATTGTTTGTACAGATGGCATCTTGTCTAATCAGCACTGTGTGTGCATACATGAGTGTGTGTTCTTTTGAACACTGCATGTTCTGTGACTTCTACCTATACAATGAAAGACAAAAAGTACTCACTGAACTGTCACTAAGGGATTTATGATACAACGCTCCCATTAAAGGAATAGTCTGGTTTTGAGGCATTTAGCCCAGTGGGGAAAATGTGTCTTTCTTAATGTATTTTACTGAAGGGGAACTCCCAAGATTTTTCAGCTGTTAATCATAAAGCGAAACCTCCCTTTTATAGCTTAAAATAACAAATCAAAACCAAACTCATCACACTTCCATCACCGTAATAAGAACTACCTAAAATGCCAGAAACCATCTTTGGGAAAATGTATTTTGGCGTATACTTTGACTATTCAGTTTGGCCTATGTCCCGTCTGCTAACATTGAGGCAGCAGGCATTATACTGCAGTCAGCCACCAGCAGCGATCAAGATGTTTTGGATTCACTTTTAGAGAACTGTCATGTCGTCCATCTTTATATATGTGATGTCCAGGCTATGTCAGCGTTCCAGTTGCATAGTGGGTAATTTTTTGGCAGGTTTTGACAAGAAAAAATAATTAAATGGAAACAGTATCTCTGGTTCTGCTGAATCAATTATGATTATTTTGAAAAGTCTGATAATGTAATATGAGTGCAATCGGTGGAGTATACTCTCTCAACAGAAAACCTTTATCACAAACAGGTATGGTATTTGATTCTCAAGATCTCACTGCTACAAACTGCATCCATGCATTTTTCTGGGTAAGATGGTATGAGGTTTATTTGTGAGATATATATTTTGGAAACTTTTTTTTATATGGTCCTGGAAATTACAAATGTATTACTTTAATTTCTAGGAGTTACCATGCAAACCCCAGATACCTACACATTGACATCACAGCTTGAGAAACATCTTTGAATCATAATTGATAAATGTTTCAACAGCCCAATGATTCAGTGAACAGCCAGCTGATTGCACTGTATTGCAACACGAAATGGACCATAGCTTCCTGCTTAACAGGAATTGCCTTGTTGCTGTAAAAAAATGCACAGTGTTAAGGCAAAAGAATGTGGTTATCAAAGTAGAGCATTCAGCAGGTGCAGCCATTTGGAAACTGGACATACTGCCTTCTGTCATATTATATCACAGTCACTACTAAAGAATTACTCCATAATGCTTCATTATCTTTCTAAAGCCTGGTGAAATCTTACAGTGTAAACCTATCAACACACACACACACACACACACAAAGACATTGGTGTTCATACCCACACACTTAAGATCTATATAACTTTATAACAAATGGAAACGTCTCATTACTGGAGCCAAGGGTCCAACCTGCAATGTTCCTAGGTTATAAACTCATATTGAGGCCAGAACACACTGATTTACTGCTTGTTAATACTTGACTAGTAGGATGTGTCATTTCTTACCTCTATTTTATCCTTGTTTCTCTCTGTCATTGTTAAGTAGCAGGACTGCGGCATATAATCTATACTCTGGACATAGTAACCTTAAACCTTAAAGCTGCACAAACAAATATTGAATCTACGCTTATCAGTATTTTTATGTCAACAATAGATCAATGATGTGTAATGTAAAAAGGGTAGTAACAAATGCACAGAGAATTATCAACCTACTGATCTACAGAGCCTTTAAGCGTCTGTCAGCTCATTGTTTTGGTTTTCCAGCCCTCAGACTCCACTCTGAGATATACAGTAAATTGAAAGTGAAATAATAGTATTGCCAGTGTATTTTTTATACTTTCTACACACATTTGCTTATTCTTGTGAAAAAAACCTAGTAGACGTAAAACAATTGACTAAAATGAAAAATCTTTTTGCGTCTGTGTAGGCGGGTTGGAGGCCTTTTACATGTTTGTGTCCCGGGGCCCCTTGTCTTATTATCTGCCCATACCTGTAGGCTTTCTGGAGTTACAAATAGCAGCGATTTATTAATATTCAATAATTCAATAACTCGGGCAGAATCCTTTAAACGCACCACTTTGAGAGATAGAAAACTTTAAACAGAGACGACAGTCAGACCACTGATAGAGACAACAAAGGTTGATCAGAGACAGACTATAACAGGACTATGACCTTCAAACTGAATCAAGCAGCCTTAGGCCGACAATAAGACAGACAGCAAACAAGGCTCTAGGCACCCAGGTTGAGGTGTTGAAGGCTCACCTCCAGGATGCAGAGCAACCTGTCAGGAGGAGGTTAGTGAGCTCTCTACCAGGCTGGAGATGAAAAGAGACAAAAGAGAACATGTCCCTGTTGTTCCTGAATCTCCATAAAGAGCAGACCTGGAAAGTGAGTTGCAGCAACAGACAGACCCCCAACAACTTGAGGCAGAGAAAAAAGTCTCATGCTGAGAGGGAGAGAGGATCAGCAGCTGATCCAGGGGCTGAGGGAAGAGCAGGATGCCCTCAGTCAGGAGTTGGAGGGCCTGAAAAACAAGACTGAAGGAACTGACCTCAACCAACCTTGAGCTAGCCGCTAAGCTTAAGGCTATGCAAGAGGTCAGTCAGAACCTCGAGAGGGAAACTGTCGAGCTGAAGGAACGTTACCTTGTTAAGGGGTGTCACAAGGACAGCAGGATTGTTGGTGCCAAAACATTCATGATGTGATTGGTCTATAGTGGGTTTGACGTTTTATTGTTTTAGTGCCTGCCAACAATCCCAAAAGGGGGCCACATTTTATATTATAGATGCCAAAATTACTGATGTGTGACACCATGGATGTAAAATGATTTATTTCAATTCAAGGAAGTGATTTTACACACATCCTTTATTTTACTGCCCCATAGCACAAAATGACCTAACATATCTGCAAGGGTTCAGTAGAATTTTGATTAATACCAGTGTTATATAAAAGTTAAATCACAATGTGCTAAGTTTCAGAAGCACATATTTAAATCTTTGAAACTGTATTTTAATAAATCTTGGTCTTAATATAAATATTAATTACAAACAGACACACATGTAATTCTTAGGGGAAGTTCTGTATAATCAACATTCTCTATGCATTCTGTGAAGATTATCCAAAGGCAGTGTGCAATATATGCTTTTTCTAGATATTATGTACTGTAGATTCTATGGCAATACTTTCTGGAGGTAAAATGACCAGCCTTAAAAGGTATACAATGAAGATATTACTGTTTCACAGTTTGCTAACATGGTAACTTTGAACCCTTTTCTCTACTACTTCTTCACACTGTTTTTGGTTCTCTGTTTATGGTACTTTATAATGGACATACAGACATACAACCAAAGAGCCCCAACCATCAATCAGAGATGCACAGACTTAGGTAACAACAAAACACAGTCCTACCTTCCTGACACACCACTCAAGCTGCCTTGCAAGTTCTAGCTAGTCGAACGACGTCACACTTAAAAGCTGTGTGTGTGTGTCTACATACGTTTGCTTTGTGCTTGCCATAACAGGCATCTGACTGAGTCAGCATGCTTCCATTTGTATATGTTCATCTGTACAGTTCATCAAACTTACACGTTTTAACATCTGTCCTTCACCCAGTGCATGTTGGGATAGGATCCAGCTCCCTCATGACCCCGAACAAGATTAAGAGGATATTGGAATTGGATCTCCCTGAGTGTATGAGCATGTCTACAAGCAAAATAATAGGTTTTGTCTTACACTGTATCCCTACCTGAGTTGGTTCCTTGTGAGTTCTTATCCTCTTCCTCCACAAACAGTTTGCGCAAACTGACCGGTTTACTTCCTCCAGCTGCAGCCGCACTGTTGCTGCCACCCTCCGCATCCTCCACCGGCACTACAGTGAAGGTGGGCATCTTGGCTCTTCAACTGTCCGGAAGAATGTATGAAGAGGTGTCAAGTGACGACAACCAGGAAGGCACTCACTGTTGAACTTTCAAACCCCACAGGGAAGGGAAAAAAATCCTGTCAAGTGGAAGACATAGGACTTCAGTGAGGAAAGCTGGGGATTCAGATTGACCACAACATGGCACTCCAACTCTTTTCTTCCCTTTCTCTTTGTTGTGTAATCCAGTGTCCTCTAAAGTCAGGGTGAAAGTGCTCCCTTATAGACGTGAGGCAGGCCAAAGTCTTGTAGTGTGTAGTCTTCACTCTCTCCTTGTTCCTTTCCCTCCCTTTTCCCCCCACTGCTCCAAGACTATTGCCCCATGTGACCCTCTATTTACCATATGAAGAGAGTCCATACATGGAGAACCCTGCAGCTCCTCCCATTACTCTGACAGTCCCACTTCTCTCACTCACACCTTTGTAATGCCAAAAGGAAGGGAAACAAACCCTGAAGTATCTCTATAAGTATCCAAAATATCTTTAAAATCCACTTTCACTACAAAAAACACTCTGTTGTCTTGTTGTTTTGTCTTTGGTTTTGTTTCCCACTCTTCTCTTCAGGCTGGGAGTTTCCGTCTCTGGTTTCCTCCAGGTAAACAAAATGGGTGTTACCTTTCCCACAGTGCATTATGGGTAGCGGGGAAGTGCTGATTTTCAGCATAGAGTGGCAGCACATGCTCACATGCGCACACGCATTGTGAGAGGAAAGGAAACACCTTGAGAGCCTTGGAGACTAACTTTCCTCTGTATTCTCGACAGGGGGAAAGGAATGAACTAATAACAATGGACACATGAATGTAAACATGAATTGTTTTCTGTTTGTGTGAATGATTTATTGACGGTCTTACGCAAGGTTTTTCTAAAGCGTTGGGACATTTATCTTGATAAAAAAGAAAAACTCCTTCAGAAAGATATACAGTAGTGCAAGTAAAAAAAAGTGAGTACATGTGTACACTGTGTATATATCAGTTGAGTGTCTTTATCAGTCTCTATTCTTTTCCACAGCATTTCTGTTGGACACCTCAGTACAGGGGTGTAGTGAACTCCATTTCAGTTGTCAGGTATAACATAGTCTAGAATACAATAGAATAGCCAATACCAATTAATAGTGTTATGTTCACTAAGGAAGTGTTCTTTTGACTCTTCCTAGAATAATTACAACACTGCAAATTATGCAAATTCCAGTCCTGTACATGTCTTTTTGTCTGTTATTAATATTTACTGTGTTTTCACATCATAATGCTTTTCACTTAACACAATGGAAAATCAAACAAATGTGTAAAATACTATAACATTATTATTCCATGCAATGTTTTAGCTTGTTTCTGTTGCAGGTGGTTATCCTTAGCCTGAAGCCTTATGTCACCTTTAATAATAATGTTATTTATTCCACAGCACTGATATCTCTCCTTGTGTGCCAAAAAACTTAGTTAGCTTAGTTTGGCTTACCTCACCTGAGCTTTGAACATAGACATACAGTCTGTGAGCTCAGCAAAACCATAGCCTTAGCTTAGTTTATGTTATTCTACTGTAGCTTACCTTACTTTATATCATTGCAGCTTAGCTTAATTAGAATAGTTCAGCTAAACCTTCCCTTAAATGCTACAGTAATTTCATTATTAAAATGCTGTCTTTGTGGTTCAGAGTTTTACTTTGGGGCTGACCTGGTGATAAAATTAGGCCTATTTGATGATGACAAACAAGCAAGCAAGTAATCTTTTGCTGAACTACCATAATTTTTATTTTTGAAAGATCTATTAAGATTTTGCACACAGTTTGTCATGTAGTTCTAAACTAGCGTCACCATGTCACATTCCTGCATATTTACGTTTGTTTGGTCTCTTCACACACCTCACAGAGGAATGACTTTCTGTGTGTGTGTGTGTGTGTGTATGGGTCTGACTTAGGCTACCATCAGTGCCACATTTCAGACTAAAGACCAGTTGACTTTGTACAATTTGTCTAATTGGGGACAAAGGCTGTGTCCCCAATTTGGAAAAATAGATTTTTTTGTGTTTTTGAGTCTGTGTAATTTTTAAGTAATCATATGGATGATAAAGGTTTTAACGTTCCTTGGTCCATGACACTTTTTACTTTGGATCTGAACACTTTCCCACCTTTCTCAAACCTAACACTTTCTTTAGTGTGTGTGTCTATGTCTCTATTTGTTTGACAGAGGCATTAAGACACATTTTAAAACTATATCCTGATCAGCTATGATTTTCTGACTAAACTTGACTCAGCTCAATTAAGCAGTGATGTTGGAAACTCTAAATGTAGCAGACAATCTCCTGCATCTTTAAACTACGGGCTGCCCAGATGTTTGACCAGATGTTTGCCTTTGAAAACTATTCGTCCCCAGACCTACCTCAAAAGTTCTGAACCATGTAATAGTTAGTATGAAACATAGTGTGCCATGAAATGTAGACATTAATAAACAGAAGTGGACTGGGACAGGAGTGAAAGCAAACATGGCTCATGTTTAACCTGCAGACACCCCTTGTTCAGCTGGCCTGATATCAGATAATCTCCCAGCCACAAAAAACACACTGGATACCACAAAAGAAAACTGCTATTTGTTCAGCTTTGTTTAAAAAGTGGTGTATAATGGAGCTGTACATATTTCCCTTCTCATTTCCCACCAGCTCTATGGTACGAGGCAAAAAACAGCTGAGTTTCAGAAAATCTTAAGTCTGCATTCAGTCAATTCTTTCACTTTAACCATTCACTTTTTGTGTGCAAATGTTGTTATGATCTTCTGATCCAGCTCTATAGATTTTTAGAAATTCTAAATCTTCTTTTTCACATAGTGACATCAAGTGATAGTGACAGGCCATCAGGTCTGCCCATGTCCTGCCAGCAGAGGGTACTGCAGGTTCATGAGGACCAAACGTTTTTGAGCTGACAATGAATAGTAGAAAGTGAGAGATGTTCGGTCCATGTCCAACTCACAGGTAAGGATATTTATAGTTTGTAAACAGTGGGGGGGTGACTGCAAATAGGTTTTAGCAATGGTTCACAGCAGGAGAGATACATATTTCAGTGGCTTGAGGACTTGTGTTGCACTGCACTGTTGAACTTTCCTGCAGCAAGTCACTCAATAATTTGGTCCTGACCTCTGACCTCCCTGTGAAATGTATATGGAAATGCATGCATATTTACAAGCATGCTTGCTTATAGAGGTGGCATGATGCAAAACCTCCAATCACATCGCTTATAAAATGCCAAACATTTCTTTGCTGGAATCAGCTAATCGTTGGTGTGCTATCACTTGGCCCATGACTGAACTACTACAGCTTCAGCTTCCTTCATGCACAAAACTGCCATTTTATACCCCTAAGATGGCTTTGAGTGTGCATGTTGAAAAAAAAGGGGGAAAGCAAGAGAGTTAGAGGTGAAATCAAATCCCTTTAGCAAACAGCAAAAAGGTCAGTGCTGACGCAGACCCGGGAACAGGCTGCCCTCCCTCAAGACTATATTCTTAAGTGGCTAGATTCTATTTGTAGCCTTTTTACCTGTTTACTGACTCCCCCACTCCAAAACCAGGTAGCTGCGCAAACATACTGGAGGGTTTGGACGACCTCTTGTGTCATCACATGGGGGATACATTTCAACTGCCTGCACTGTGCTGTTGGACCACAAAACGCAATATCAGGGCAAAAGGATTCATGTTTATCAGGACAGGAGTGCACTTTTTACTCACTCAGTGGATCAGTATGCTCATTTTTGGGATCATTTGATATGAGACTAGAACTTCTAATTATTAATACTGATAGCAAATGTATTGCAGTTTCCTTAAAGCAACAATGCAGTGCTTCTTTCATTACCCTCAGGGTTCTTTATAAGAATTAGAAGGTTCTGCTAGGTCATACAAAAAGTTTCTATTTGATTAAATTATCATAATAATGTTGATATATAGTAGTATGCATTATTTTTCTTTCTTTTTTTTAAGGTAATCCAAATCCCTTTAAACACTAAAATAGTAACACACTTTAGGTTAACAACAGCCATGACATGCACACACACAGATACAGACAAATAAAATTCAATGAATAAAGTAATTACATAAACAAATAATAAATAAATTAAATTAAATTAACATTCACATGTTCCAGCTTCTCCAATATGAGGACATGCTGCTTATTTCAGCTCATTGGATGACTAGCTTTCCATGGAAATGACGTCCGATGTGAGGTTGATGGCCTATGTCAAACATAAAGCATGTTTGTAATTTGTCTTATTGTCTTATTGTCAAATATTTGAGGAATGGTGTTTGTAATGAAGTGGTTAAATAGGCAGGAAGTACAGTTAATACAGGAGCTTCAAAATAAAAGAGCAACCTTAGCCTGAGGGATCGGAACAAAACAGGAACAAAAATATACTAATCAAAATAGAGTACACGTTTATTCATTTCAAAATTAGATTTGTCAACCTGACTGATAGCTTGTAGCCAGGTCTTTATTTACACAGCAGTTATAGGCTATCATTTCATGAGTTGTATGCTTTAATGTACACTATATGTAATTCTTTGTTGCTAGGGGCCTCTCACATCCAAAAACAACAATAACCAGACATTGTTGTGAAGTTGTGAAGTAGCATTGTCTTCATTCTTAAACATCCATCATTGCTATGGCAGAAAGCGTTCATGGAGATGGTAATATTTAAGTTTTATTCATGATACGTTGGGAAACATTTGGGATAATCTGAGTAGCCAACAGAACTCAACAATATTATAATATAGGTCAAGCATTTTTAGACATTTCAATGTGGAAATGTTACATATATCTTTAAGCAGCATTAAATATTTTAAGTAACGTTACACATTACATTCATTTCCATTAGATTAGTTTCCAGCTTCACTGGCTAAACACGCTAATATGGCTAATGTTAGCTAGTATTTACACCAAGCAGTCTTGAATTAAAATATACTTAAACTGACTACTTACTACTTATAAATTGAGGGCATACCCATGGAGCCATCTCTCCATTACTTACCAGAAGCTACTTGGTGACCCACCTTAAATTTCATTAATGTTAAAGGAAGCATGACATTTTAATTTGACGGTAACTACTGGTTAGCTAAAAGTTGAGCTAACTGGCTAGCTGACAGTTAACTGACATTAGAGCGTAATTTCACTTGTGTCATTCTTATATTAAAATGCTGATGAAAGAGAGAAAGAGTTATGTTCACATGCAAGAAAAATGTCTTTGTATTAAGTGCTACCAGTCCGGGTTGGCTGAAATTGGTAGTTTTCAGACTGGTCAGACACAGCCCTGTGGCTCTCCAATAGTCAGCAAGTCAGAAAACATAAAAGTCCCTATTTTCTCTACACATCTAATATTGAACCTTTTTGTGGCAAAATGTTCTTTGGGGACAGAACGCTGGGGTTCTTTATTAAAACTTTTTACGAGAGCATTTTTAAGAGTGTAGTATTTGTGAACAGTGCTGTCAACACACCAGTTTGGGCCTATAATCCTTAAACCATATTATTTTACAATTTTAGCCATTCATTAAATTAGAAATTGGGTATTTTGGCCAAGTAGTATACTGTATAGTAGCATTGATGATCATATACAGTGCCTACCTTGTCCCCATCCCTCATCTTTTTTTAG